TATAGAGATTCCAAATTGTTTGCCGCAATCGCAAACTGAACATTGTCGAAAATGTTTCCAGATATCGCTGGTAGAAATCGCTCGTAATAGTAAACGTTCGAAATAGTAAACACTCAGAGGTAAACACTAATGCGGTCTTGACGAATACCTCACGTTGCGAATCCGTCAAAAATATAAGCCAATGATAGTGCAGAATTTTTTTAAATGGTTCAATCAGAAGGCTCATACAGAGCCCCTGAATCTGCAAATCCGTCAGGCCTCCCCACAGATCCGTCGCAAATGGCCGTAACCATGGAAATGAGCGTGTCAGCCAATCAGATAGCCGGATTTGACCCCGAATCCGTCAACTTTCATGCGTAAGACCGCTGTTCGTGACTGACTAACATTACTTTGCCGAAGCTCTGCCGCAGCATGAAACGTATAACTGGACTACCGGTACGATTCAAAATTTTAGTAACTCGATCTACTGGCCACTATAGATAGCTGGAGTCAATTTTTTTTAAGTAGGCAATTTTTACTTCAGTCGCGCGACTGATTTGACGACCCCTAGATCCGCCCCTGTCGTGATTTGTAAGTTATGTGTAAACATTTCAATTAACATGCGTAGAAATCAGATTTTGTTGCAAGTTGCAGCAATTCTGTTGCCCGTATTACTCCACCTTAAAGAGCTAAAGTTGTAAAAATAAAAAAAAGTTGCTTACGTTTCCGTACAGTCCACCTCGACCGATCAAAACACCCATATCCTTGATGTCGTCCCATATTTCTACAATATCTGGAGCTGGCAAAGGGTTCTTCGATTCCTAAATATAAAAATGTTACTAAGGATTTCAGTCCTGTCCCAGATTACCAAATTATCTGGATTGCAAGTGACCACTGCTCTCAAACACATGACTGGATTGCACAACCTTTTGGGGAGCCTAAGCTAACCAAGGACTTCGAAATCTGCTATTACTAAGAGATCAACTTCTTAATAATGAAAACACGTCCAAACTTCAAAAATACAAGATAACTACAATATACTGATCGGTGATTCTGATGACACCAAAATACGTTAGAAAGGCTACCAGTTATCTTTGAGGAGAAGTCTGAAATAGAACGGTCTTACAGCAACGGCTGACTTCTAGCTTCATTTTTAGCACGATAGAGTCCAGTTTTACTGCGAGATCAGTGACGAACCTTATCTGTGACTAACTCCAAGCCAAGCATAAATCCTTTCCCTCGTACATCACCGACAATTTCAAACTCATCTCGAAGTTTCAGTAACTCAGATAAGAAATGCGTGCCAACAACATGAGAGTTTTGCTGAGTTCCGTCTTCTTCGATCGCCTAAATCAAAACATAGTATGACTATAGTCTCCATATGTAAAGCTTGCCACATGAGGGAAACACGCTGAGCTAGCCACCACAACCAATCAAGGTTGTCTTACATAGACCGCCCACGACCGGTTGCTAAAAGCTGGATTAGCACTCACCCTGGATTAAAATTTAACCTTCTGGGGCCGGTTGTTCAAAGGTAGGTTAGCGCTAACCCTGGGTTAAAATTTAATCTGCTGTTTTAGTTAGTGTATTTCTACACGTCTGTTTATTTCAGAGAAGTAAACTCCTATCGATCCAGACAAGAAATATTTTCAAATTTTTAGACAAGCTGTCATGAAGTGTGCTTTGAATTTTAGGTTAACCTAGGGTTAGGCTAATCCACCTTGAACCGGCCCCTGTTTGAGTTCATGTATCTCTGTACGTGTTAGCCTTTCAATTTTGTTGCCCGCAAGCAAATTTTGCCCGCTAATGTAAAGGCGATGCCTGCGGAGGAGGCCATGCACGTTTGTTTATTCAAAACTTCATAAGAGTAAACTCCTATTGATCCAGACAAGATTTCTAAAGAAATATTTCCAAGTTTATAAACAGCTGTTAGGAAGTTTGCTTTGAATAACCTAGGATTACGCTAGCCGGCTTTCGAGCAAAATAGATCCAGACTATTTCACATCGTTCACAATGACATGGTTAGGACTAAATGGATTAACCATGCTTTACTTACATCCAAGACCGCCATGCCAACAGCACTACCAAGTGCATTACCACCAAACGTATTGAAATGAATGGCTTCTCCCATCACGCTGGCGATCTCTGTTGAGTAACATTAACACACTCGATATTTTTCATTCAAGGTTCATGAACAAATGCGCGATGGCAAGCTGCGTGAGTAAATCCATTTACCAAGTCAATTCCGAGTCAAACGTCGGAGTCACGTAAAAAAGACGAAACTAAATAAACTTCACAATCAAATAGGATTAGGGTACTAAGTCATTAAACTACAAAGACCGCTAAACAGTGACTCAGACATTTGACTCGAGCTCGGATCTGACTCGGTTAACCGACAAACTCCAAGCTACGTTTGTTCGTTATAAAGGGGGTTGTAAGGGGCTGTTTATTTGAGACAAGATTGGAATTACTGGATATATTTACAGTATATAAATGATATTCTAGATCCCATTCATTCTGAGTCGGCAACATTCTCGTACCCAGAGCGCGGTCAACGAAGCGCGACGAGGGGCTCTGGCCAAATCCATATCAAACTGGCATCTGATTGGCTACAACGAAGGTTATTGTTCTAATACCGGATATATTCTTTTACTATGTTTTTATGGTATCCGGTTTTGGATTTGGCCAGAGCCCCTCGTCGCACCGCGCGTAAGAAGGGCTCTGGGTACGAGAATGAGTGGGCAACTGACATTCCCACAAAGACTGGGAACACTCATGGCGGATTCTCCTTATATGGAGCTCGATGGTGCTGAACCGTACCTGGCGTAGTTACAACAGCAGCCAGTGGATAGCCATTACCAATACTCTTCGCCATTGTCACTGAAAAATAGTTGAATCGAGTTACATACATTACTTACATTATTTAGCTCACTCCCCATTGTGCCTTTTCAGTGAGCGATTACATCCAGTATCACGCTTACTTGTATTACCTACTTTAGCCTAGAGACCCTAGACTATTTATCCTTGCAACAATTGTGATATTACTTTCCTAAATGTGTTTATCCTAACCCACCCTGTCAACTTTCACTGTGGGAGGAAACCGGAGCACCCGCAGAAAACCCACGACTTTCGGCAGAGCGTTGACCGACTCTTTTCACATGAGTCCGTAGCGAGAATCGAACTCACAATCTCCGATTGGTGAATGGCGCTTTCTCTGACGACTGCGCCACCGGAGTCCCCTAAAGCCACCGAAGTCCCCTAAAACCACCGAGGCCCCTAAGATACGATTTTATGATATGATGCTATACCTATATCAGGGACAACCCCAGCGTCCTCAAATGACCAAAATGATGAACCCAAGCGACCAAATCCTGTCTGAACCTAAACATAAAGCAAACTTGGGTGTAAGTAACTGACTGTGGGTGAAGGCAATACCGTTGTCAGACCCGTATCCTGGATAGCACTGACCTCGTCAGAAATACAGAGTCCGCCTCGAGCTCGGATAAGTTCATACGCCTTGGGTAAGAAACCTTTTGGAAGTTGAACTGAACCACCAACACCCTGAAAGAAACAGTAATTTATACAGAAAACAGGTCGAGTGAAGATCCATACAAGCCAGACGCGATTTAGCAACTCGACGCGAATTTTCAAATTTCATGACAATTAACTTCAATATTTTTCTATGTTTTTCAAATATTTGGCACCACTTAAGCCATTCGGTCTGCAAATTTTTATCCGTTGACGGTTTTATTTGTTTTTAAAAACTGAAAAGTCGCGTTGTCGAATCGCCTTCGGTCTGTATGGACCTTGAAACTCAACTATATATTCCACAAGTTTGTATAGCAAAATAAATAACATCAAAATTTATGAAAAGCCAGTAATTTGCGTCTACTTTAAGACTCTCGTAGAGTCGTAGACACCAGAGCGCACCTGGATATATTCAGCAATAAACCCAGCAACTTTCTGCCCACAGGAATGTTTCAACATATCCTCAAATTGAGCAATATAATTGCCTGTTGCTTCGCATTGTCCTGGGGGAATAAAAACAGAAATTGTTATCGTAGAAGGGCCTAGTAGATTCCGAGTGTTTTATACATTTATTACCCAACCAGCAGCAGAAAATGCAACTATAGCCGCTCTGTGTCAGGAATCCGCAGCGCTCTATTTAGAAAAATCGGGACTTCGTTTGTACAGTACCTTCAACACAGTTGCAAGTTCTGGTTGTCTAGAAAATGAATGTTTAATACATTTTGATGAAAAATGTGTTCAGTAAATCTTAACATGCACGGTAAAGGGTAAAAAGTTACTGCTTGTGTTATTGAAGACTTAGAAGGCTTACCATAGGCCGACAAAGGCATTGACAACAAACCGTCTACCTTTAATACTGACCGAGACTGTATTGACTGACATAATTTTATTGACATGAGCTACCTGTGCAATCGAATCTCGGCACTTTGATCCACCCCACAGTCCTCTGTACACATCAGCGTTCATGGTCTACGGACAAAAATAAGACCGTTTGTTGTGAAATCCACGAAGCTATACAAGCTATGAGGAGGAGAGTTGATGAAGACTAGAAGTCGTGCATTGTTACAGGAGACATTTCATGCTCTAGATTAACAAAATATTAAACGTTTGACAAGTGTTCCAACTCTGTTTTAACTTAAATAGAATACATGATACTGTAAACCATTTGTTAATGCTTCACCGCCAGCTCTCATGTACTCTCATCTGCGCTATATCGCCGAATCCTTGTTTTTCCACACCTGATGAACTCCGAAGCCAACTGGATGGTTAAATTTCCAAGTCCCAACGGCAGTCACGCCCATAATGTAGGGACTTGCACCATGATAAGAATTTCTTTGAAGAAGAAAGTTTTGTTAGATTTGAAATTTGATTAGTCTGTTTCGCTACCTGTTTTTCCGCAAGGCGAATTTGTTCGCACGAAGATTTTTATTTTGTCGGCATTGCTTTGGCTTGCCTGTGTGACGATGTCATGAGACTGCGCAATGTGTGCGCAGGCTGCACACGTAAAAATCTCACAACTTCTCTTCAATGCAACTTGTCAACAAGATGTGTTCGCAACAGGCTTGTAGCAAACTTGTCAACAAGTTGTAAAAACGCTGGTATTTCATAAAGTGCTACAACGTTGTCACCCACAAATTGTTGAATTGCAGGACAATAACAAGTTGTTGGAACGACTTGTAACAAGTCTGTTGAGTTCAACAACCTTGTAGCAAGTTGTCAACAGGCTGTTGACAACTTGTCAACAAGCAGTGCGAACAGATACTCTTGACAAGTTGTTGGAACAGCATTGCTACAAGTCTGCTGCACGTTAGTTACAACTTGTGCGTTTTTACGTGTGTACGCCTTTGCGAGCGTGATAAGCGATGCCAACAGAGGAGAAATTAAAGTTGCTCGGCGCACAAATTTGCTTAGTAAAAAATGGGTTTCAAGGCCTTTCACATTCGTTCCCCAAAACTATTCCAACTTGAGCAACAAGGAAAAGAAGACAAGATTACCTCAAAGAAATGAAATCAAAATTTTTGGTATAGTGTCTTGCAAGGAACAAGGCCAGATCGTTTGCTTCAGAACCGCTGTTCACAAAGAAACAAACCTAAAACATAACAGTTTTTAAAAACTTAGTAAAAAAAATACAAAATATTTCTGCAGGGCATTGTTGATTTGTACATCTTTGTGTTCATCAAGACACATTGTCTGTTGGATCCAGCCAAAGGTAGCTGAAGGTGCAGGACTCCTAGAGGGTACGTCTGAGTGCATCCCCCCCCCCCCACGCCCTGCAATGCCAGTTCTGAAGATTACAAGACATCCTATAAAATGCACAAAATGGTACTTTTTATTAATCCACTTTTCAGAATTTGTGATACAAGTTGACTTACTTTTAGATCCCCAGGAAACTTTTCTGTCAGTCGTTCAGCATACTCGTGGACATTTGGATGCATGTAAATTTGTGTGGTGTGCCAGAGTTTGTCCATCTGAGCTTTGACTGCAGCATTTACCTTCCTGCATGAGTTGATAATGGTCAAATATTTACTCATTTTGAAGAACTGTAGTATGTCAAACATGCAAACTGTATATCTCAGGATCTTGAGGAAATGTTCCTTAGCAAGAAGAATGAGGAATTACATTTTATACTTTATGGAAAAATCATATCTGTTATTTGCAAAGTGGTGTTTAATATTGGTTCATACTGAAGATTATATTCAGTATTAAATAATATTTGGCCAGGCCAAATTGTTTGTTACTTTTTATGCACTTTCAAGATTCAAAAAAGGCAAATTCAAGATTCTGAGACTGTTAATTAAGCAGCTTTTCCAAGGTAAGCAATATATATTTTTAAAATGTTACTGAAAAATACTTACGGGTGACAATGCCCAACACCCACTGTGACAATCCCACCAAACAAATCTAAATATCGCTTGTTATTGCTGTCCCATAACCATTGCATTTTACCCTACATGAAACAAGAGTATACTTAGATTGTGTAGTACTGTTAAATGGGGGGTGGTCAGCCTTTCAATCTTCAACAAGTGACTTCAAGCAAGTTGTTTGATTACAATTTGCATCTGGAAAAAGTTGTTCCTTTTTTACCCTGCCAAATACTGTATATAGCTATTAAGGTTTTAGAATTCTGCTACTATAAGTATTAAAATTTACAAAAAATTGAGTGCATGGGAAAATGCATGGCTTTCAAGCATCTTGCCCATTCGCAATTTCTTGTTATTGTAAATTTCAACTCCTGTTTCTACCCAGGGGCAAAACTTGAGGGGGGTATGGGGGAGTGTGGCACCCTCCAAAATATGAATCACCCTGATTGGCATAGCAATCAAAATGTGAAAAATTCCAATAAAATAAATGAATATATTATGAGTTTAATTTTAAATGATAGGATGTAGAGTTATTAAGCTAGCAAACAGTAAGCAGTTTGTATGCAGTACATTGGCATCGGCACTAGTTCAATTATACACATAGCTTGTATGTATTGCATTAGCACTGGTCAGCTGAAGGGCGCATCATTGGTTTTGGCAGGGCAATTCTGCCAGACACCCCCTAATTAAAAGGGGCTAGCTTCGCCTCTGTTTCTACCCAAGACAAGGTTAATGGAAATTATTTTCACAAACATTGAGAAAGGTTTTCAATGACTATTTGTATTTCATACCTCATGTATAACAGGAGGGGAAGCTGGATGATAAAGGTAGTAGGTCGGTGATAACTTTTCCTTTCTAGTCTTCAAAGTTTCTTCTGGTGTTTTGCCCTATAGCAATGGAAATAATATAATCAGTTAAACTACGAGCTTACTTCTGTAGTAATAAAATTCAGAGTTTTTAACTTACTGTATAAGGTTCAGGTTGGTGGTCACACGGTGGCATCTCCAACAGTTTCTGACATGCAGAACCTAAAAGAACATTTATAATGCAGTTTTATTGTACAATAGGTTTTGTGCCAAAGCATTTCCTGCAAGACGTAAGAAAATTTCCTGTGAAAATATTTTGTTTTACATTTCCTGTCAGTACAATCGTGGGTGCTGCTGGACATTTTTCATGGATGTTTGCTGGTTACTTGTTTCATGGCTGTTGGTTGTTAATTTGCTGGTTGTTTGTTGGTTGTTCAGTGGTTGTTTGCCAGTTGTTCATTGGTTCTCTGTTGGTTGGTTGCTATTGTTCGACATAATGGTTTTTCATTGGTTGTTCATGTTTGTAATTTGTTGTTTTTTCACTGGCCATTCATGGGTTGTTCATTTGTTTAGTACACCATTTATGTGCATGGGTAGTATAGCAAATGTTGAGTTTTAAAATAAACAATATCAAGGCTATGATGTTTACATGTTACAGTATGTCCCAGTAACTTTCCAGATGGTCTATTGATTTTGACCCTAGGATTTTAAATTGAAAACTTTTCCTCAGGCTTGTGGGACATTGTTATTTGAAATGTACATTTATTCTGTGGCACTGTTGTCCCACAATCATAGTGTTGATATTTAAGAAATAAAAGACCAACAATTTTACCAACTCTATGCATGGTTCAGACTAACGACAAATGTCTGTCAGGGCATATGGTCAGAATTATGTATTACTTAGGGCTATAGCAAAAGATGGCAAATAAGAGATGGCCAGAATTTTGCATCTCAAATATGGGTGGATAAGATAGCCTCATGCCAGTCTGCATTGGTTAACAATTTCCATGGTGAGTGACTTTCCATATAAAATGGATCAGATGTCTATTCTGTGGTTAGAATTAGAATTTGGATAAAGATTGGGATTATAGGATCAGAGTTAGAATTTGGATAAAGTTTGGGATTTATGGATTAAAATATCACTGAATTTAAATTACACCATTTGTTTGCTACACAAATGTTGTCCAAGAATTCGTATTCAATCATGCATACTGCATAGAATACAAAATTTGTAGAAAGATAATTGTACTTGATATACACTCAAATACGGATATTTACCATCAAACCATAGCAATTAAAACAAGCGCATTTGATAAAACACCAAGTACAATTGCCTGCACTTGTACATCATTAAACCATTTAAACGTACGGAATAAAATGCGTTTGCGGTTCAGTGTAAAATGGTGCAATTTCCGAATTCTTAACAGACCCAAGGCCCGGGTTGTTTCGGGCGGGCCTTACCTGTGGCAAATAGTCTTTTTGCCTGCCATACACCAGCGCGCGAGTTCTTTAATAATTGTAGAGACCTGTACATAATGCGAGCAAGTCTTTTACCAAATACAGCAAGTAAAAGAGCAGCTGTCACAGTAGCAACTACGGAAAATTCCCAAAGTGAATGTAACCACCAATTTACCACCTGTGGTAAGTGAATGTAACGTGGATTAGGAATTTTGGAGAATGTTGCAAATCAAAGCGGTGTTTCCACAATGGAATTTGAAAAACATCTGTTTTTTGCGCCAGAAAGTTTTGACAGTCAAATTTTCTCGTGTTCACGCTAATTTGTGGTCTTTACACTGGGTGTACAAATACTTAGTCTTTACATGAGATTCGTTAAAATTCTTTACATGAGATTTTATAACAATGCGGTCGTCTTTAATATAATGGGATTTAATTATATGAATAATACAAACGTTCATGTCTTGGTTTGAAAAGCATTTATAAGTAAAGAGAAAGGAAAAGAATTTGGATTTTCTTACAGTAATTTTTCTCAAAGAATAGTTTTTTTCATGCTCATATTTTCGGCGCCCACAAAAATCAGTTTCTTTACCCATCTCTATCCAGTAGTTTCTACAAGTTTTATAGCTCAGTGGTGCTGACCACGCAAGATGGCGGATCGTAAACATTGAAAATTGTAGAGAAAATCGTTCGAAATAAACTCCTGTTTTCTCTATGCAAGAGTTAAATGTTTTCAAGAAGGAGTGTGGTAGACTGTGGTTTCGGAAATTGTCACCAAACGAAGATGGGTAAGCTTTACACTGAAGAAAGACGGGTTTTAATAGTTGTGTCTTGTCAGACGGCGCGAAATTTGAAATGTTTAAAATGCGTATTTCTGTGTATAATTTATATTCATAGAATAATATGTAGGTTTTATACGCATAGACTTTAATGTGTAAATATGAGTATCCTTGTGATTAAATTGTTGTAAAGACAGTAAAGTTTGTCCTCCCAAATCAATGGTGGTGGACACAGAGTAGATACATACAGAGGTGTTACTGGCCGTCGTGAACACTGCGGAAACTTTCGTATTCATGTACCCACTAGTTATAACTCTGTATATGTATCTACTCTGTGCCAGTGCGCTTGTGACAGGCATTCACCCCTCTGATAATATTCAATATGGCAGACCTCCAAGGGGGGAATGCCTCTCATACACCCACTGGCTAGGACCATTCATGGCGTCAGCATTTTGATGACGAATCATGACGTGGCAGCAGTTACGCTTTTGTTGCTAAGTTGACCTTCTGTGTGTCTTTATTCTGTGTCATTGGTGTGGAGCAGTTTCCCCCCTCACTATGCATTCCCCACCCTGCATGCCTCCTTCACCCTGCATGCTCCCTTCACCCTGCATGCCCCTACTGTTGTGAAAGCCACAAATGATTATGGACATCAGATTATATACAGTACTGGGGGGGGGGGG